TCTGCTGAAATAGAGGACTGTTTCTGATCAGGCAGGGTGTGATATAGCACTGTGCTTTAAAGCCGTGTAATGCCATTTTCCATTAGAGCTCTTGTTCAAGTCAGGAAGGGGTTTGATCCATTGATGGAAGCTGTTATAAAGAGATGAGAAAACCTCGTCCATATTTCTCTTGAGATTGTACAAAGCTGACAGTATGCTCACTGACCACAGTCATCTGGGACTCTCCCACACAAAATATCCCTCTTTTCATAAATAACAGGATTGTTGAGTGGTGGACAGAGATTTGCTGCAGAATTCAGTTTTGTCAAACAAAGAGCTTCTTCTGGTTCTTAATTTGAGCTATTAAAAAGATTCATCCTTCTTTCTCCTTGTGAATCCTTCGCTCTTTCTCTCTTCCCTATTTTTCCTTCTTCAATCTGTCTTTAAGATAACTTAGAGCTGTTTTTTGGAAACAAAAGACTTGCGTGGGTCTGATAAGTGATGCGTCTGAATTGGAAGGTCACAATTTTAAATCCTGCTTAGGAGTAAACTTGGACAAATTCCATAAACTAATAACCCAGTGTGGTGTTTTAAATTGATGGAGGTGCTATCCTCTAGATGAAACATAAAAACAGAGATCCAATCTGCTTGGCAGGGACCCCGCAGGACTTATCAAAGATGAGTGGGGGCTGCTAACTGTTTTGCCCTTGTCAAATCCTCGCCACCACCACCGCTTCTCTTCCTGTTCCAAAGCAATGACACTGGACCTTATGAAAATGAGACGACAAACTTGAAGGAGCCATCCATTCCCTAATTATTTAAAGCAGTTTGCAGTGTCTGGCAAGAGGGGGAAGGAGAGATAATCTACTCACTTCAAAGTGGAATGACCCTGAATTTCAAAAAGCAAAACAAAAGCAGGCGAATGGTGCCACCATGCTCTGCAGCAGCAATATTATTAAATGATCAGCGAGCTATTAAAGCAGCAACATTTAGTACCTCCCCTAATGACTTGTACTGCTAACTGGTTTCCAAATTGAGATTCTTATTGCCTTCACACACAGACAGAATAAGGCTGTGTGCATGTTTCTGGAGGCTCCAGCTGAAGCAGACTGTTCACAATAGGATCAGTGAATCTTCTCTGCTGAAAACTAGTAATGACTTCTGAGATCTACACTCCTCCTCTGTCCTGTTTTCATGCCAGGGCCAGAAGCTTTGGGGGGAGAGGCATGGTGGAGATCAGAAGTGTGGGGGATTTTGCAGAGAGCTCTGCCTGATTCTTGTCTTATCTGAACTTCCTAACATCTGCGAAATTTGGCAGAGTTGTGCACAAACAGACTGCTCGGAAATCTCCCCAAAACCACTGATGCCAGTCAAAGAGCAAATATTGCGGGAACAGCATTTTCAGAAGGAAACTTGGGGATGCTGGTTTCCACTTCCAGGTAGGAATACAGAGCATGCAGAACAAATTGATGAAGGAGGAAGGGAGAGGAGAGAAAATCCTGGCAGGCAGTAGAGACAGACATTCACGCAGATGCTTCCATTGTGGCTCTCCCAGGTGGGTTTCTGCTGTCCCATGGGAGTTCTTGTGATGGGAATAGCTGGGCAATCGACTGCAGGTATGGTTGAAGTTGGGCAGAGAGTTCTTGTGGGCAAAAGCACAGCATGTGTGATTAGCAAAAGGAAAGACGATTACAAAACAAACCACCACACTACTCGGAAAAGGTGAGTTCTGGCTGTAGCTGCAGTTATTTTTGTGTCTGTGGTATTTAGTGAAACAAAATGGAGTCTGGGTCTTCTGTGCACCCAAAATAAATGCAAATGTCATTGCTATGATTTGTTTCTCTCTATCAGTTCTGCACACTCATGCCACCTGCACTTCTGAGTGAGTCAGGCCATTTCTCACCCAGGCTAGGCAGGCACAGGCAGAGACTGTTAATGCTTTTTTTATGTATCAGGTACCTGCTTTCCGTGACAGAAACTACTCATCCTTTGTGGAGGTGGCTGGCAAAGCAATGGCAGTGGGATGGTATGAGAAGCCAATATTAGAACATGCACATTTTTTTTATCCTTTGCAGCCTTGAATCTTACTCCAGACTACAAGCTGTTTCCATTTTGTGACTTTTCAGTGGTTGGATGTGGTGGCACAGAATTGCATGATCAGTTTTGTCAAAGTGTCCATCTACTTTCTGTGTCTATGCTTGGCAAAATGCCTTTACCTTCTCTGTAAACTTAACAAACAGGAGGTCTGTATGGGCTGCAATACGTGGTATGAACTATAGGAAATGGGGATGGATGGGCCTCAGGGCACCTTCTATATTTCTTTTCCCAACTTCATGCAAAACCAGCTAGAGCTACATTGTTCTTACCTACCATAGGCTTAACCTGTTCTTGAAGTCCTCTGCACTGGAATTTTCCAGCTGTGATTAGGTGAAGTGGTTACCAGTCCTTATTGATAGAAAGCATTTTCCAAGAGGTAAAGTTCACCCGTAGAACAAAATTCCTCCACATCGGGAGTAAAGCAGAGCTGTAAGGCACCATGGAGGAGCTCATGTAGCCACTTCCTCAGCTGCATCCACTCTCATTTTAGGGTTTCCTTTCCAGGTGCAGTGTGTCAGACATTGCCCACCACGTGAGCACACGTGTTGTAAAGAGACAAAGAAAAAGCAGCAGGGCCAGCTCTGGCGGATCAGCCTTCTGAGAGTGGCACTGACAAAATGTCCTAGAGACTTTACTGAGTCCAATTACCACTTTGCGTCTTTAAAGTGCTGAGTAAATGAAAGAAACTACAAGATCAAGCTATGTTAGTCTTCTCAATCCCTTAAATGCTTGACAGTCTTCTCCCCTTCTTTCTCATTTTCTCAGAAGACTTTGAACTCTTAACCTTTGCTGCTGCTTTGAGTTCTCAGCTGCAGAAACCAAACTACCCACAGCCATCCCCAAATTCCAGTAACAATCACAAAATGCTTTCAAAGAAACTGTGCCCTTCCTGGAATTGCTGAACTTTAAGCTGCCTCCAACTTTCTGAACTTTTGAGCTCGTATGGTTATCCTCATCCATTGGTGCCAGCAAGCTGCAGGGAAGCTCACCAGGTATTGCCACAGCTGATGTCCCCATCCAACCGCTACTCTGTCCATGCAGACAGCAGCCATGAACATCAGCTGCTTGGGCTGTGCTGTACCATTGCATAGAACAACTGTAGAATCATAGACTTGTTTGAGCTGGAAAGGACTGTTAAAGGCTGTCTAGTCCAACTCCCCTGCACTAACCAGGGACACCTACAGCTCGATCTCATCCTCAAAGCCCTGTCCAGCCTGATCTTGAATGTCTCCAGGGATGGAGCATCTACCACCTCTCTGGGGAACCAATAACATAGGTGCCTACAGTATGCATCGTATTAGAATGGCAATTAGTGTGCCTGGAATAGATCCCTATAATCATCCCCAGGCACTGGAATGGAAACTAGAGTAGTGGAACCAGATAATGGGGGGAGAAAATTAGCGTCAGGAGTCATCCTCGGCCACTTGATCAGGGCTTACTAGCAATGCCAGCAGAGCTGGTGGCTGGCTGATAGTTTTTGGTTGAAGAACTAGAGCTAGAGACTGAGTCATGTCAGTTTGACCTCTCTTTTAAATAAATAAATAAATGATAAACAGCTCACAGCGATGCCTGAACCTGATGTCTCATGCTCACTTGTTTTGATGTGTCTAATGTAAGTGGGCGGGTACTAAAAGCTTCATTTAGAAGCAAGTGTCTTCACAGCCGCTGCTGGAAACCCCTGGGATGCTGCATTTCTGGAATTTTCCTTTAATGGAAACATCAGCAGATAACTATTGGTGTAACGGAATGTGAACATGTGCACACAAAACAACCCAGAAATGGTTTCTTTTCCTAGTCTGCTGGATGTCAGATGCAGAAGTATGTTTAGTTCCCCAGGTTGCATGTTCACTTCAGCTTCTGCATTAACACCCCTGAAATCCTGAAATGGCTGCTGTGATGACCAACTGGGGCAGCACTCTTGAAAATCACATGGTTATTGCAGTGTGTAAAGGCATCAGGTCAAAATAAGCAATTAAAAGAGTCCTCAGCTATGCAGCTATGGATAATGACATCCATTGCATTTCTTCCAGATGAACATCATCATGCAGAGGATAAGCAGGGACCACTCTATAACAGGCAGGTCTAGTGCTGATGTTTCACATAGGGAGGAGGTTCACCCAATGAATATATGATCTTGGATATTATTTTTTTATGCAGTCATGGGTTATTCAGCTTATTTTTAGGCAACAGAGTCTTCAGGAGGTTCAGGCACCCTCAAAGTCTCTTCAGCAGCTCATCTGTATAGTGTTGGGTTCAGGGTTAGCCAAAACAGAAATCATGGCCAGCGAGGGGAGAAGAGCCTCAGTGTTGTTGCTGACCTCTGGAAGGTAATGCACAGCTCTCCAAGACATTCTTCTAGATCAGTGCTAAACCACCATTTTAGCTTCTGAGTACAACACAACTAGAGAACTGTAGATTCTTCTAGGACAGTGTGGGAGCTCCACACTAAAGGTGAAGGGCTACAGCTCCGATCCCAGTGTTAAATTTTTATACTGGTACATGTCTGGTTTGTACCATGACGTTGTTGACCTTGTCTCCTGGAGACAAGTACAGAAATGTCACCTGTGTCCAAACATTTTTAGGTATATATTTTCCCTGAGCGTGAAAATTGGAAGGCTGCTTGGTCTAGTCTGTTACTTCATGAACACCACGGGGATCTGCAGCCAAGTGTAAAGGGGAAGAGAGACTGTTTCCTCTTGTCTGTAGTTTTATATAGCATCTACCTGTGAAAAGAAGAAGAAAACAAGATGACCCTTGCTTTGTCTGCTTATGTAAGTCATTTTGCCTGAGGTCTAAGGACTGTGGGATGGCTAATGTAAACTTGCTCGTGCGTCAAATAGCAGTAATTTACCTCTGGACTATGTGGTTTTATTATTAATATCTTTAATTATTTCCAAAAATACTCCTTAATTAAAAATCTACAGATATGAAGCTTGGAAGGAATGTGGCCAGGACGTTCTTGGACTATTACAGGCTGAACTCCTTGGTGGAAAGACCACTGGCAGCAACTCCTAAAATTCGGTAGGTCAGAAAGCATTTTCTTTTCCTTTAGTGGGGCTGCTTCTTTCATGCCTTTCATGACTAAACTTCAGTGCTCCTTCATTATGGCTTTATAATAAGCATGCCAGTCTAACTGTGCTTATTCTATTAAAATTCCATTCGGAAATAAAGCATTTATGATCAGGAAAGATACCTGGTTTATGCCTGAAAAAAATATACAGGGGATTTGGGAGATATCAATATCTTTCCTGAATTCTGTCTGCTGTACACCAATCTCACACCAGTATCTTTAATGGACTTACCCTTCGTTTATCTCCTAAGAGTGAGAGGAGAATCAGACTCTCTTTATTTTGAAAACTTTTAGTTCTGGAAGGAAAAACTTTTTCAGTGCTTCAGGAGGTTATTGGCAAGCCTGTGCTGAAGGCAGTGTTCTTCAATTCACTTTGGACCTGTGCTGACAGCTGGATGGCAGGCTTCTCCTACAGCTAGGACCAGGTTTCCCCCTCACTGTGAATCCCTAATCCAGCTTTACAGCCAGTGTAGGCTGTTTGTCCCAGAGTGTCTCTGTTTTTGGACATGAAGTAAGGCCACTAGAGAGGAAGGCACACAGGTATGAAGAGAGGGTTTAAATGCCCAAGCTCTATTCTCTGCAGTGCTGCTGGCCCTCTGCGTGGTGTTGGACCACTGATGTCCTTTCAGTGTCTTACCTTGCATGAGCAGGAGTGGCTGTACTACGGAAGTGCTGATTGAGAATTGCCATTATTTGAACAGACAAAGCTGGGTAATAATGTGAAGAGAGAAGCTGACCAGGAAGCAGAACTCCTGTTGCGTGGGAAACACCATGTTCAGAATTTGTTTCTGTTCAGAGGATGGAGCATTTTTGCCTCCAAACTCAAAATTTCCAATTAAGTGCATTTAGATCAATTGGAAAGTTTGGAATTGTTTGTTTTAATACCACAGCCAAGCATAATTTATATTTACAATGGAAAATCCAGTTCCAAATGGAATTGTTCCTGTCCAGCAAGGACTGCAGATGACCCTTGAATATCACTCCCTTCTTTTCCCCTCTTTTTCCCCTTAAAAAAATACCTGTGAGAATAGTTTCTTGTTTACAAAGAAACACTTTCCTACTAAAGACTTTCCACTGATGCGTAAGATGGATGCTACAATTATCAGCCCAGGCCATAGAGCAATTGCTGAAATACACTTCAGCAGACTTTAAAAATCCTTTTGGTGCAGCCATTCTGGCAGTTCCTTATGCATACAGTCCAAGCCAGCCTGACTGCATTAGGTGTTTAAAGGCCCTACTTTGAGTCCATCTTCCATTCTGTGTTCGTGATCTCGACACAACAGTTTAGGCTGGCTCAAGGAGGATTGTCAGCGCTGCAGCTCTGAATGCTCTTATCTGCAGAGACCTGCAGGGTTAGCAGAGAAAAGCATCCAGCATCTTCCTTTCCTCTGGAAATTGAATGTATCATTTCTTTCAGATTCCCAGGGGCTGCAACCTCCAAGGCTAAAAACCCACAGCTATTACTGAACCTAATTACCACCTGACAGCAAAGTGCTTTTCCGTAGCATCATTCAGTTACCTCATCAAAAAGAATGTTTGTTTGCCTTCTTCGTTTTAAATTAAAGAACCACTTACAGTGGTAACTGAAGCATTTTAATCTCATCAAATATCCATGTCCATCTCTATAGAGACAGCCATGCCAGCAGGGAAAGATACACATCTATAATCGACTTGAACAGAGCAGATTTCTCTTCTCCCCCCACCAGAATCTAATGGGGCGAGGGATCTTTTGTCTGGGGGGGTTCTACCTCACATTAAAATCCTAAATACTGTAAATGTTCAGCCTAAAGCCAACAGATGTTTTAGGAATAGATTTTGAAAATTCATGTTGTTAATTTCCTGATAGCTTTCAAATGCTGGTCTTCCTTGTAAGTAGACAAATGCCTTCTATTTGTCTCGTGGGTCTTTGTCACCTGACATTTGATCAGAGCCTGTGTACATTATTAAAAGTACACGAACGAAATGAAATCTTCTTTGAAGCTGTCATGTTTACTGCAAACCTGTGCACAAGAAAACCTTGCAAACTGCTGGGTAGGAGGAGGAAGATAGCTGTGGTTTTAAATCTGCCTTGGCTGGGCAGTGGCATTAGGAAAGGACTAGAATATGTAAAATGATACTAAATATCTCTATAATCAGGACTAATTACATGGTAAGGTTATTAGCTTGATGACTGGACATGTTGTGACCATAGTTTATGAAAATATATTAAAACATTACCAGATTCCACATACTCATTGAAAGAAAGCTGCAGAGTTAATAAACGTGTAAGAGACAACTAATTGGCTGCTTTGTCCTAGTCTATTGCAGGCAGAATGATTTCTGTTTGAGGAAATTAATGCAGCCAAATGTGTTATAAGGATAGCCCTGGAAATAGCAGCAACCTGAATCACTTCCAGAGCACCTCTTGACTGAAGGACCTTAAAGAAGGAAATGTTTACTTTGATATCACCGTGGTGTGCAGAAGGAAACTGAGGCACAGAAAGGAAGGGATGGTCCTGAAAATTGGTGCAAGTATTTGATAGTGCCCATTTTCAGGCCCCTTTAGCCCTGATAACAGCTATACTGAAGAACAGACGATGCAGGCAGTTCAGTGAGAACTGAATTAGGATCATCTGGTGCAAGAGACAAGAACTGCAGCTCTGGTTACAGGGCAAGAACTGACTGTGGGGCCAAGCACTTGTAAAGCTTATTCCAAGATGGAAAGAGAGATAGCTGTATCTTTATAAGGTGTTTATGTGCATGTAAATGAATCCAACTTGTTGGATCTACAGTTGGACCTGTGGTATCCCCAGTGTATCCCACAGTCCTATTCTTGCAAGGACCCCGTGATCCTGAATGAACACTTAGTTCAGAAAGATAATGTCCATTGTTACCAGCAAACTAAGCAATTATTTTCCTGAAGGTGATATGTCTGCAGCAAGATAGGAAAGCATCAATGGCTCAGCTGGGGAGGGCAGGAAGATTAGAATATTTTCATATGTGAGCTAATGAATTAAAAGCCTTGCTGAAAATGCTGGACACTTTCTGGAGTGATAAACCGATAGGCCCATAGATTTCTAAGAGTGAGACCTGTGTGCTGCCTACAGAAGCTGCTGGAGAACAGAGTGCTGCCACTTCAGTGTGCTTCAGAAAGGCTCAGGAAAGTCCACCAGCACACAGAGACATCTCTTCAAGGCCGAGTTAAGTGGGGACAGAGCAGGAGAGCACAGCTGTTTGGTTGGCAATGGATGTTCATGCCCTTCCTCTCCTCTTCTTGCAGTGCTGTTTTATGCTGCTCAGCGGCCAACAAATTCTGCTCCTGCTGCACTCACTGGGAAGAATTTGAGTGGGATTCCCTGTGATGCTGTCAGAGACACAAGCAGCTCTTTCTCTTGCTGTGTCTCTGTCCTGAGCACACTTCTCTACTTGTGCCAGAGTAAGTGTTAGCACTGGTTGTGTTGAGAGCAAAAAATTGCCTCTACTGAAATCTTTGGTATAAAAGGCAAAATTTTTGTAGGTGATGAAGAAAAAGCAGAGTGCATCTGTTAAAAAAAAAGAAAACAGAAACCTTGCCATGCAAAAATTTGCAAATGCAAGTCACCTTGTGCTGCCTTAGGCCTTTGCCCATGCCAACATTGCTCTGTTCTTTCCCTCCTGGCTCATTGACTGTGCAGCAGAGCTGTGCTTCAGCACAGCAGTGTCAGCAAAGTTGCTATTGCCTCTCAAACTGCTGACTCGTTTTTCTGAGAGCTGCTAGTCCCATGTTTCTGGTTCTCTGTGTTCACTGAGGTCCAAATTATGGAAATGCTGAGTGCTTTTGGCTCTGACAAAGGTTAGAGGAGCTGGACTTCGAACAGACACCTCGTAAGTACCCTGAAAAATCCCAGCTGGCCAGCAGAATATCTCTGTACCAGGTAAAACCCAGGCCCTCTGCTCATTGGGATGTAGAAAAAGAAATCCATTCCTATGTGGGAAGCTCTCTGTTGACGTACCGATACTCATGAAATCCAGGAGAAGAGGAGTAGATCTGTCTCTAAGAGCAGGGAACTTGATGGCATGCAGCAAGTAATGCCTAGAGTTACACACTGAACAAAAAAAAAGACAAGAAAATATTGACTGACCCTTTTTTAATTGCTTGTTCGTTTGTTTGTTGTGCCCTGAATGAAGCAGAAGTCTTGTTGAAGAAAAAGTAGGCTGTGATGAGGTAATTAAAGACTGCATCAGAAGGCATATCTGCCAGGAGGCTGAATTAAAATTGCTCTGACAGCCTTTATTCGGGTAATTCCTCCTCTTGCTGCTTGACTTTGCAGCCTTAATGATGATATATAAGTTCACAGCTGTGTATCCAACCAGATGGATTGGCCCACGGGACTGCCCCGTCATCCTCAGGTGATGGCAACCATTGTCTGCATCACAATGGGTGGAGATGGAGAATGTCTTTTCCTGTATGGGCACAGTTTGCTAAAGAGACACTTCTGCCAGGACAACTCAGTCATTCAAATGCTGAGCCCCATCTGACACTAAAGAGATGTTCAGTGGTTGTGTGGGCCTCCAGGCTCTGACTGATGCCGTCCTGGGGATTTTCTGGCACATGTGTGGGAGTCCTTCTGTCCCTTGGGATCTGGATGTTCTTCCCGTCCACTCATGCTGTCTTTCAGAAAAAACTTTTAAGATCTGCCTTCAGGATTTTTGAGGTTTTACCTGCATCTGTCGGCGCTTTCTTTGACCTGGCCATGTCTGAAATGAGAGCTGGGAGTGAAGCCACCTGTCTGCTTTACGTAGATGGCTGCTTCTTGTCATTCTCTTGGGGCCCTGTTTGCTGTCACCGCAGCTCACTTCCCCCAAACTTAAAATGCTGTCTTGTCATCTTTTCCCCCCACCATTTTTCAGTGGGAGAGTAGTCTTTAGGGAAAAATGAAAAAAAGAAAAAAAAAAAAAAGTGCATGTCCTAGCAAGAATTATGAATTTTGTC